GCTCCCACTGGCCAAGGCCACCCTAAGTTCTTCTCGTGCACTGACATCTAATCCTCACACCAACCCCAAGGGGCAGGTACTACTGTTACTGAACCTAACTTGGGGCCCTTTGCCCAAGTGCAGTAGAGCCAAGACAACACTTGGCGGTGAAGCAAAGTTCAGTGCTTATTGCAGGGCACCAAACAAGAAGTCCTGGCAGCTGAGACGCAGGAGATCCGAGCTCCCCAGTGGCTTTCCAGGGGTAGGCTTTTAAAGACAAGGTAAGCAGGAATTCCCTGATGGTCCAACGGTTAGGACTCCATGCTTCCACCGCAGGGAGCACGGGTTCAATCCCTGGTTGAGGAACTAAGATCCTGCATGCCACAAGGTACAGCCAGAAAAATAAAATAAAGACAGGGTGAGGGAGAGGGTGGCAGGGTGTGTAATCAGCTCGTAGACATTCTTCTTTTGGTTAGTAGTGAGGTCATGGGGAGTCAATATTATCAACCTGGTTCCAACCCATCTGGGGTCTCTGTGCTTCTGGGCAACACACAGTCCGTTAACTTCTTCCACTTGGTGGGGGTTTCAGTATCTGCAAAACAACTCAAAGGATATGGCTCAAGACATTACGCATAGCCCCTAAGCAGAAACTAAATGTCCTTGACTTTGTTTAAAGGCTAAACTATTATTATTTGTCTCATTTGGCTGTTTTTCTTTCTGCATTTTCTCACTTCTCAAATTAAATTTATTCTTTGGATTTTCTCACTTCTCAAATTAAATTTATTCTTTGGAACTCTAGCAAGACCTAGGAGGTGAAAGTTTTTCTACAAATAAGAGGCAGTCAGAGGACACGGCAAAGCCCCATAGGATCCTGCTCGGTTACACTGTTATTATTGTTGTTGCCCGTTTTACAGATGGGGAGACTGAGGTAGAGAGGCTTAGTAGCTTGTCCACGGTTCCTATCTAATAAACAGCCTGACCAGGGTCCAAGCTTGCAGTCTGTGCTATTAACCGCTGTGTCACCCTGGTAGCAAGGTAACTTTGCTGCTAATTCTGTGAGAGTTGCCAAACGAGCCAAATGCAAAATGACAAGAAAATGTCAAGCTGTCATTTGACAGATTTGTTTACTTGGTCAGGGCTTAGTTTCATGACGAAATCTCACAGGTTTCTCTATGCCTTGTCTCTGTCAGAGCTATGCCCACGGCTTCTTACTCATCAGCCTTGCTCTCTGCTTAGATCCAGTTAATCCTCCTCACTAATCTCCAGTCCCAAAGTTAAGGCCCTTCTGTCCTCACTAGGCCAGGGGCTTTTTCTGCCCCTGACGACGTGAGATGTGAGCCCACTCTGGGGGCTCTGATCCCTGTTAAAAACCACAGCCGTAATTTTCCTCCAAGTCACACTCGTATTTAAATAAATCTAATATACCTGTGATCCATGGGCAGTAGAGCCTTCCAAGTAGGGGGCTAACACAAGAAAGAATATTCTAGATGGAGGGCCACAGATCATGCCCCTCCTGCTGGCCTGGGCCCAGTGGTCCCCTTGAGGCCCACACACTGTTCTCTCAGGCTTATGGCTCGCTCCAGGCTCCCACAGGAGCCTTTCTTTATAAACTTTGAGTGGAAAACATCAGTGGAAGCTTACGGAGGTCGAGAGGGGTATCAGAAGACCAAGCAGGACGTCAACAAGGAGTGGATCCTATTTCACCCTTATTCCTACCCAGGGTCAGCTGTCCCAAGCCTCTGTCCTCTGGCTGTACAGTTGCTGCAGCCACGACCTTCACCATTCAACCCTGGGAACACAGACAGGACTCAGACACTGCCCTTCCTTCTGCGGCGGAGGCTGACTGAGCCAGGAGGGCTTTCTAAGAACGAGGGTTAACTCAGGGCCTGACGTGTGTCCCAGTCACTTTGTGTCGACGGATGCAGGTGGAGATGGGGGATGCATGTGAGTTAATCTGCAGGATGCCTTGAAGTCACAGGACATGAGAGGAAAGCAGAGCATTCCCCACAGAGGGAACGGCCTGGGCAAAGATACACATGGCATCTTCTACAAACCAAGACAGCCCTGAGGCTGGGAAGGCTGGTAGAGACAGTAGGAGAGCAGAGAGCGGGTGGCCAGGCCAGACCACAAGGGACTTTTCGCTTCCGGACAAGACAAGCTTTCTCCTTTGTTGCAGAGAAGCCTTTGGGGGGATTTTTGATGGGGAAAGAACCAGGCAAATGTGCTGCCTAGAAGGATGACTGGTGGGCATGCAGGGGTGGATCCTAAGGAGAAACTGGAGGCAGAGAGAAAAGGTAGAAGCAGTTGCCGTGGACCACACCGAGCAAGGTGGGGCTCAGACAGCCCCGGACTAGGGGGAAATGGGCAGAGCCGAGAGACTTTCAGGAGGTAAAAGAAAGAGAGCTTGGTGATCATTTGACAAGGAAATCAGAGACAAGGGACAGTAACAGAGAGACAGACAGTTCTAGACTGCCCTCGAGCTTCAGACCTCATAGTAGGGGGTGGTGGGAGCACGAACCATCAAGANTTTCCTTCTCCAGCGAATATTCCTGACCCAGGATCGAATCCACATCTCTTTCGTCATCTGCATTGCCAGGAGGATTCTTTACCACTGCATCACCTGGGATTTGGGCAAATATGGGGCGGTCAGGTTGTCACTGAAGGGACCCACATCTTGAAGGGCTGTCCATTTCACCTAGTTCTAATTTAATTTAATTCTTCTATAATACATTCTTATTGTAAGTATATTATTCTTATAAGTTGGTTCTTTTAATAACTCTATTTATGAAGAAAGTGAAAGTGTTAGTCACTTAGTCGTGTCTGACTCTTTGTGACCCCATAGACTGTAACCCAACCAGGCTCCTCTGTCCATGGAATTCTCCAGGCCAGAATACTGGAGGGGGGTTGCCATTTCCTTCTCCAGGGGATCTTACCAACCCAGGGATTGAACCCAGGTCTCCTGCATTGCAGGTAGATTCTTTACAGTCTGAGCCACCAGTATATATATAAAGAATTATTTACTCTACTATGCAAATAAACTTTCCTTGGGCTTCCCTGATGGTTCAATGGTAAAGAATCAACCTGCCAAGACAGGAGACGAGGGTTCTATCCCTGGGTTGGAAAGATCTCCTGGAGAAGGAAATGGCAACCCACTCCAGTATTCGTGCCTGAAAAATCCTGTGGACAGAGGAGCCTGGTGGGCTACAGTCCATGGAGTCACAAAAGAATCAGATACAGCTGAGCGACCGAACAACAACATACTTTTCCTTAGCTCCCCTAGCCTCCCCTGTGATCTCTTCAATCTTCAGGGGGAAAAAGGAGCAGGGAACTGGGGCAAAGACCAATTATCAATTCCTCAAAATTCTGATATAAAAAGTGAGGATCAGTCGTGTTAGATTAAAAGGATGGTTTGGCCCATCGACAGGTCTGCAGATCAGCCAGCTCCCATGGGAATGGAGAGGCAGTTGCAGGCGGCATGTCACCAGCCACAGGGCCCCTCGTGTCAGCAGCCACCCCGTGTCTCTGCTCCATCACACTGATTCCTGCAGTGATGCCCCACCCAGGTCAGCTCTGCCTACAGAGGATGACTGGCTGGGAAAGCCCCACACACAGCATGACCTGGCAGCAGCAGGCAGTTCCTGGAGATCAAGGGACAGGATGGGCAAAGTGGACTCCTGGACATGGAAAGGAACTCTACATCCAGTACCTGAGCCTGAAAGTCAGGGGCCAGGAGACTCGAAGGCTGCAAGAAGGGAGCAGGTGTGCAGAGCAAGCACCAGTGTCTGTCAATGGAGCCAGAATCAAAGAGCAAGCCCTGTGTGGGGCCCAGGCCCAGCCTGGATGGGCCCTGCAGTAAAGCCTGTCCTGAGCATGGCCTGAGCAGGGTTATGACAGGGTTAAGGGCAAGGAAAGGAGGGCAGGACCCCAAGACTCAGAAACCAGTCTCCTTGGAGGCTTCTGAGAGGCAGAGGATATGACATACTTTTCATCTTATATTTTGCACTTTCCTAGACTAAGAACTGAGGTGAGGAAGGTACATAGGGCTCGCACTTAGGGGATACTCCAGTCCCTGGTTCAGACGCAGGCTCAGGGCCTCACCAGCCCGACCCTGAAGCAGACTCTCACCCACATGCGGTGACCTGGTGGCATCGACTATTTGACACTCAACAGAAGGGACTAAAGGGCTCAGCTCTTCAAGGCCTCCTGCCTCCAACCTAGACACCCATTTGAGCCACACCCTGCTCATCACCTAGCGCCCACTGAGCTGCCTCGAACCCTTCATGCAAACAGACCCTGTATCCACTTTCTCCAAAACATTGCCCCAGAGAGGAGGAGGGATTCCAGTCACATCCCTCTCCTACCCGGACACAGCCCGGCCCTGCCCCCTCCCCATATCCCCAGGTACGGCAGGAACACACGGCCACTTGACCCTCATTCATGCTTTTATTCTGGAACCAGTAGTCAATGCGAATGGCTGCCAGCATCACCACGCCTGGGCGAGCCTTGGGCAGGGTCCAGATGGGAGTTGCTGAGGGGGACTGGGATTGTACATGAGATGGAGGCCAGTGGTGTGACACCCCGACAAACTGCCCTGAACTTCAGGCAGCCCTCAGTCTCTAGAGAAGATACCGTATTTATAATAGACATGGGGCACACACAGCCTGGTCATGGTCCTGGGTCACGGTCCCCTTCTGTGTCCAAAATCAGTGGCCCGCCGGCTACCCCCCATCCCTCCTCCAGCTGAGCAGAGGCCAGAGGCTTCCTCAGAGTCACACAGAGACCTGCTCTTGACCCTTGGAAAGGGACTATTGAAGGGAACTCACTCACTGCCTCATGAACCACCACTGTCTGCCTTTCACGAGGAGGCAGCAGGATCGGGGGCTTCACTGTGAACTGGTAACATGTGCTGGGAGGGGCATGGGAGGCCTGCAGTTCTGACCCAGCGGGCTGGCCGCAGGCTGAACCCACAGCAGCTGTGTGGAGGCCAACTGATGTCTTGGGGCCCCACACTTTCCACGAGGTCACTGATGCAGGCAGAAGTGCACGTGCCGGAGGCGGGCGGCAGGGCCCAGGGAGGACAGTTCACCTGTGGGGGATGAAGGGCAGGGCAGGAAGAGACACAAGGAAGGAGTACTTCCCTGTCACTCACCGCCCCTGGGGCAGCCTGAGCCGTGCACACGGGCTTCCTCCAGGACCACGGCCACCAGCCAGGACCCCACAGGCCAGCCGGGCAGGCTGTAAAACCCTGTGACGGGTGTCTGCTTCTGTGCACATATGTGGGCAGGGGAGCAGGGGCCTAGNCCCACCACCCCCACCCCACTGGCCCAGCACACCCACTCTCTCACAAATTCACACCCACACCGGTGATTGAATATCACTTGTAGCTCATCCATTACACTCTCCACCCTGTGTGGGTGTCGGGGATGTAGCTGCTGGCTGACTCACAGCCACAGGAAGGCTGAGCCACTGAGGGTTCCTCAAGGAGGGTGAGTAGGAGGGGTTAGGAACATAGATAAGTCCGACAGCCTGGGCTCAAATTAAGTCTGCCGATTCCCAGCTGTGTGACAACTGGCAAGTTATTTAGCCTCTCTGTGTTTCAATTTATTATCCGTAAAAGGAGTTAATAATAATGGCTACCACATATGGTTGTAAATAGGTTTACATGATAAACTTAAAGAGGTTTAAACTTGCAAAAACATCACTGAGTATGAAGGTTGGCACGTGGTAAGCAGTCGGTGTATTACCTCTGCTGCCCGCTTTGGGAATACCCCAAGGCTACAAGGACTGTGCCCTGTCTCCCTCCCCGCCTCAGCCTCCTCACGCCTAGGAGGGCTGTGCCAGAGAGGATCACAGTTGGAGGATGCTCCAGGGTGCAGGCGTGCTCCCCAGAGGGGCTGGCAGGGCATCTTGGCCACAGAAAGCCCAGGGAAGGGAGCGCAAGCCCACAGGTGCTGCTGCATCCACCTGACAATCAGAAAAAAAGGCCGTGGGGCCGTTCTGTGGCCTCTGAGCTGGGAGCTCCTAAGGAAGCAGAGTGGGTGCTGCATGCCTAGGGCGCAGAGGAGTGAGTCTCCTTAAAGTGTGTGCCCTGGGGGCCTGGCCAACCTCACCCTGCACACCCCTCATACTCAGGCTCTGGGTGGGAGCCTATTTTACAGTCTTACTGCATTGTGTTCTTGAGGGAAGGATGTGGGTGTGTTTGTGTGTGCGTGCACAGTCACTCAGTCAGGTCAAACACCTTGCCACCCCATGGCTTGTAGCCTGCCATTCTCCTCTGTCCATGGGATTCCCCACGCAAGAATACTGGAGTGGGTCACCATTCCCTTCTCCAGAGGATCTTCCCAACCCAGGGATCAAACCTATATCTCCTTCGTCTCCTGCATTGCAGGAGGATTCTTTACCACTGAGCCATCTGGGAAGTCCCAAGGGAAGAACCCTGTGCAGTAAAAGGCATTCAGGAGACTCAGAATTTTACTTTATCAGATCAGAAACTTTAGGGGTGTCAGTCTACTCCCCCCTTTGTATGCATGGGGTATCTGAGACCCAGGGCCTTCAGCAAATGCGGAACTGGGGTTCCAGCCTCCAGGTCTAACAGGCTGTGTGATTAGGACCCCACTGCACCCCAACCGCCCCCAAAGTAAGGAGGTGGCGAGAAATTCCTAGATTGGAGTCAGAACACTGGTCCGGCACCTTGTGCCTTGAGCAGTACCTTGTGGCTGCCGGGGTGGCACTCCTCTCCTGCCCGCCCCAGCGGGGTGCACACCCGCAGCCCACGCAGCCATAGGCTGACCGCACAGCAGGTGCCCGCCCTGCACTGGATATCCCGCTCGCAGGCCTGCGGGGGAAAGACAAAGGGGCCATTAGTGCCTGTGAGCACCACCCCAGAGAAACCGGAAGGGAGAGTACATCCCAAAACCCTTCAGAGGGGTGCTGGGAGCGGTACCCACGCCTCAGTCCTCCGGGACACCGAGGGCCGTGCAGGGCCACCCCTGCTCCTGTCGAGGCAGGAAGCTCAGGGCTCAGCAGGGCAGCAGAACTGGATCTGAGAACCCCCTGAGATCCTCTGGGGCCGCTCGGTGGGGAGGCTTTCCTCTGACAAGGCTAGAGCTTAGGAGACAGAGCTTTTCTAGCACCAGGAGATGCTCAGTGGGTGGTAATGAGATTGAGTTAACTCGAATTCTTCCGGGGGAGGGTCCCAGTGGCCTGCAGCCCAGGGTGGTCCGTGTCAAGTTTCTTGGACAGGGGCCCTCCAGCCCCCACCCAGCAGTACTCGGGGCGGCGCCTCTCCCCCCCACCGTGGCCCCCTCAGTCCTCCCTGGAAACCCAGTCTCATCTGAGGGGCCGGCACCCCCGACAGGTGTTTCCCCCCAGGGCGTCTCTGCTGGCCTGCCTGGCCCCTATGTGACAATTGTCAAGTTATTTAGCCTCTCTGTGCTATTACCAGTGAAACGGGTTAATAATAGTAACTCCTCTAGGATGGAGATGGACTCCTCCGGGCTATGCTCCCAGAGCGGGGGCTGAGTGGTCCTGCCTGGTTTCTGAAAGGTGCCATCTATGTGTGTTTTAGTCGTTCAGTCATGTCTGACTCTTTGCAACCCCATGGACTGTAGACCGCCAGGCTCTTCTGTCCATGGAATTCTCCAGGCAAGAGTACTGCAGTCGGTTGCCTTTCCCATCTTCAGAGGATCTTTCCAACCCAGGGACTGAACCTGGGTCTCCCGAACTGCAGGAAGATTCTTTTCCATCTGAACCACCAGGGAAGACCCACACAAACCTGTTTAAGTAAAAGCCTACATGAAGGAAAACAGAACTAAACTGCTCCAGACTCAGGAGAGGCCACCCTGTTGAAGCACCCCACCTTCCCACTTCAGAGATCAGCGGCTTCTCTGAGCTGAAGCTGGGAGCTGGGTTTGGGTTGGCCCTTCTCCATTGGGCTTCCCTTGTTGCTCAGCTGGTAAAGAATCTGCCTGCAATGGGGGAGACCTGGGTTCAATCCCTGAACTGGGAAGATCCCCCTGGAGAAGAGAAAGGCTACCCACTCCAGTATTCTGGCCTGGAGAATTCCATGGACCATACAGTCCGTGGAGTCGCAAAGAGTCGGACACGACCGAGCAACTTTCACTTCACTTCTCCGTTGGGCCATGGGGTGCCCTCTGGCTGCCCTATGGGGCACTGCAGTAAAGTGGGGAACGCTGGGGCTGCTCGACCCTCAGAGGGGGTGCAGGGGGCAGTCACCCGGCCTCCAACCTAGTGAGGGCACGTCTCACACACCAGCCGGTCCCTGAAAGCTCAGGGTCAGGGCTGAGTGGACTCCACCTGGCTCTTCTGCCACAGAGGTGTGGCATCACTGTCCCCCTCCGGGAGGAGGGACCCTCCAGGACTGAATCTGGGACAGTCACGGTCTAGGGAGCAGGGCCCTGTGGGATGGTAGAACCCAGCCTCTTCCTGAGAGTCAGACTGGGCCGCAGCAGGGCTCGGAGTGCAGAGGGAGCAGTTCTAACTTCTCTGACTACTCGGTCAGGTCTGCTGTGTGTCTTCTGTTTTCCCAAGGGTCACCTTGGAGGCTCTTCTGGGAAGACATTTTCCCATCTCTAAGTCCTCCCTCCTGCCAGACCTGCCTCTGGGCCAGACTCGGGGTCAACCTGCTGCCTGGCGGGGTAACCATGGCTTCTACCCTCTGCTCTCAGCCTCCCAATCTTCAAGCTGCACAATAGGAAGGCAGTTTTCAGTAGTTTACATTCATTAAGTACAATTCTGTCCTGACAGTTGTATTTATGCTTTGGGTCCCAAAAGCACTGGCTTGCCTTTGATGTTTGTTCTGCTTTGAAACTCAGTCTTTTTCCTCTAAAAAGAAGAAAGAGATTTTGCTTTCTGTGGACATTACAGTTAATCCAGTTCCAGGAATGGTTTGACCTTCTCTACATTTCCATTTTCTGTGTAAAAAGCTGGAGGAAGTTGAAACAAAAGTGAATGTCCCTCTTTTTTGTTGTTGTTCTAGTGGTTTTTTATCTAGAAAGCTCCCAGATCAGTCAGTACTTTCTGTTTTCATGAGAATGGTCCCATCACCATCACACAACTTGTGCCCATGAGAGGGTGAGTCCAGGTGAAGTCAATGTTCTGAGGGAGAACCACTATTGGGGTGTCTTGAACACTACAATGTGCCTACCTGGGTGCACCCACAGTGGGACTGGATTTCTACTTGTTATCTGACACTTGTTTCTGGGTCACTTAGCCAATTGTTGGCATCACCCTTATTCCAATCAACTGGGCACAGAGTCAAAACATATAAACTGCATGGGAAAGAAAGAGTTTCAAGATTGGCTTTCTTAAGAGTAGAGAAACATTAAACATACCCAACAGAAGCTAAATAAGGTCACAGTCTTTAATTAAGTCAACTTGCTATGTAAATTACACTTGACATGTGAACCAAACCATGCATGAAAACTAAAATTTACACAAAAGATAGATTAGGGAGTGCTAATACACTTTACAAAAGATCCATTATTACTCAAAAATCTTCCTTTGACCAAAGATCCAAACTTCAGAATTTGCAATGCTCTCCTCATTTATTGAAAGCAGAATTTGATTTACAGTTTCTCTGAAGCAGATCCCCTTTATCGAGGTCTAACTAATACGAGAACCCCGGGAGATGCCTCTCGGAAGTGTGGTCTGGGGCTGGCTCCCATGCCCTTGGTTTGTCTCCTGTGTGGTCCCTGGGTCCTGTCCCATGCAGACCCTGACATCCTCCCAAAACCCAGGGCAGAGAGAAGGTTGGACGACTTACCCCAGTGATCACCGCACAGTCAGACACGGTCACCAAGAGGAGTATCACTGACACTTGCGTGGCACCTCTCATGGTCACTTGGGGTGAAGGCAACCACTGCCAGCGCCGCTGCCTCCGCTCCACCTCAAACCTGCCAGCTCGGAAGGCCAGGCTCTCCCCTGAGATTTATAGCATCCGATCCAGGCTGCCTGTGGATGCCTTGTCTCCACTCTTGCCCATCGCACTGTTATTCAGATGATCTCAGAGATGGAGATGAGACCTGAATCCCTAATGACATTGAATCACCATCAAAACCAATAAAGATGAACCGTCTGTGGCAGTGACAGTCGCTCTGACTCTCAGGACGCAGTGATCCATGCATTGCACCGCACAGTCCTTGTCGCCTCTGGGGCATCCTTCTATTCTGCTTGGGGCCAGGGGAAGGCTTTGGTAATAAATCAAGGGATTTGCAACATCACCATTCACCCCTCCCTGCTACCAAACCCAGGATCATCGGCTCCTTCACACTCAAGCCAACAAGAATGATCTGGGCACTTCCTATCGGCTCAGTACAGGGTGAGGGGCTGAGAGGACATAGTGAGAAGGCAGTGTCCTTGGTCCCCTAGAATAAGGGTCCCCAACCTCCAGGATCTAATGCTTGATGATCTGAGGTGGGGCTGATATAATAATAATAGAAATAAAGTGCACAGTAAGTGTAATGTACTTGAAATCATCCCAAAACCATCCCCCCAACATGGTCCTGGTCCATGGAAAAATTATCTTCCATGAAACTGGTCTCTGGTGCCAAAAAGCTTGGGGACCGCTGCCCTAGAAGGTTAAAATGCCAATAGGGAGACATAAGAGTGAGAAAACAAAACCAGGATTGTGGGGTTGATGCTCCTGAGAAGTTCATAAGGAATTGTCCTCTAAGAAGCTCTGGACAAACACCAAGTGTCACTTGGCTCAGGAACCAGAGGGCAGAGGATGAGCCAGTTGACAGGTCCCTGAGGAAAAGCATGCTTGAGCTGGGTTGCAGCTAAACGTATCAGGAGCCATGTGCCTTCCTGTTCTACGGGTTGAGCTTGACCTTATCCAGGGGCTAACAAACATGATGGGCTTGGACACCAGTCTTAGGGAAGGTGAATCTGGTCACGGCCCCTCCTACCAACTGATCCAAAGACCTCCCAGGACCTTTTATCAGACAATCCCCACAGTGATAAAGGTCCCTTCTGTTCACAGAGATAAAAGCCATTATTGCCCAAGAAATGTCCTCCGTTCAGGTCAATCGCTCAGTGGTGTCCGACTCTTTGTGACCCCATGAACCGCAGCACACCAGGCCTCCCTGTCCATCATCAACTCCCGGAGTCCACCCAAACCCATGTCCATTGAGTCGGTGATGCCATCCAATCATCTCAGCCTCTGTCGTTCCCTTCTCCTCCCACCCTCAGTCTTTCCCAGGATCAGGGTCTTTTCAGATGAGTCAACTCTCCGTCCTGCAATATGTTAATAGGTGTTACATGCATACAAATACTTACATATGAGATTTCCACAGTTGAAGCTTTGGGAAACTGATTACACAGTTCCACCAGCTTTTTTTTTTACTGCAGGACTTTCAGGGCCTTTCATATATTAGTAAGCACTTGGAACACCAAGCAGGGAAATGCAATTTGTAATTATTTCCTAAACAGATTAATCCATCAAACACTTTTTTTCTTAAGAGTGCCTCAAGGGAATGTGACTCCCAGGTAGACTCGTTGACCAGCATTTATGAGTGAGAGAGTGGGGAACTGAACAGCAGCTCAGCTTCACAACCCAGAGCAGAGTGCGAATCTAGATCTAGTCTCAGTCTCTTCTCATCTGTAACATGAGGGTGAGAATAGCACTTATGGGCTTCTGTGTGTATTCGTCCATTTATTTATGTATTCATTGACTACATATTTAGTCACAACTACTGTATTGAAGGGCTCAGACAGTAAAGAGCCTGCCTGCAATGTGGGAGACCCGAGTCTGATCCCTGGAGAAGGAAATGGCAACCCACTCCAGTATTCTTGCCTGGAAAATCCCACGGATGGTGGAGCCTCAGGTGCAAGAGTCCATGGGCTCACAGAGTCGGACACGACTGAATGACTTCACTTTCACTTTCTTTTCACTATATTGAAGGCACTATTTTTGGCGCTGGAAACAGACCAATGAGCAAAACAAGATCCTTGCCCTCATGTGGGGGAAACAGATAATAGACAAATAAACAAATAGATTTATAGTAAAATGGCTAGGGGTGCTGAGTGGTATTAAAAAGGAAGACAGAGGGACACCCCTGGTGATCCAGTGGCTAAGACTCTAATCTCTCAATGCTGGGGCCCTGGGTTTGATCCCTGGTTGGGGAACTAGATCCCACATGCCACAACTAAGACCATGTGCAGCCAAACAAATAAACAAAAATAAATATTTAAAATTAAAAAATAAAAAGGAAGACAGAGAGGACAGCAGAGCATGACAAGGCACGGTGCTTTAGATGGGGTGAGGGTCCCTCCGAGAAGACACTTAAGAACCCTGATGAAGTGAAAGAATGCCCTGGGCAGAGCCTGGGAGGGAGGAAGCAGGGCAGAGGCCCTGTGGTAGGGCCTTCTTGGCCAGTTCCAGGAGCAATAAGGAGGGAGGAGAACAGGGGAAGGGAGAGGGAGGGAGGCTGTTGGAGCTGGAGCGGGGACCACACCCTACCAACCTTGCAAGGCATGGTGCAGGCCTGACAGCAAGGGTGATGGGCACCCTTGGAGTGCTTGGAGCAGAGGAGGGGCAGGATGTGATTTACACTTTGAAGGATCTCTCTGGTGGTTTGTGGAAAATTAAGAGAGATGCTGCTGCTGAAGTGCTCAGCATGAAGCTTAGCACACAGCAGCACTTGCAACTATTGCCATTTTCTATCATTAAAAAGATGGGCCTATGGGGAAAAGGAATAGTTAGGGAGTTTGGGATGGACATGTACACACTGCTATATTTAAAATGGATAACCACCAACAAGGACCTACTGTACACCACAGGGAATTCTGTTCAATGTTACATGGCAGCCTAGACAGGAAGGGAGCTTGTACGAGAATGGATAGATGTATATGTATGGCTGGATCCCCACTCTGTTCACCTTTATTTAGTTGGCTACACTACAATACAAAATAAAAGTTACACTTTTATTTTTATTTCCCTCTGGGAAGACCCAGAGGGATCGGGCAGAGAGGGAGATGGGAGGGGGGATCGGGATGGGGAATACATGTAAAACCATGGCTGATTCTTGTCAATGTATGACAAAAACCACTACAATATTGTAAAGTAATTAGCCTCCAACTAATAAAATAAAAATAAAAATAGTACAGATTAACAAAAATAAAAATAAAAGTTAAAAAAAAATTAGATGGGCCTGAGTTGGGGACAAGAGGGAAGGATTGGGAGTTTGGGATTATCAGAGGCAAACTTTTATATATAGAATGGATAAACAATAAGGTCAGACTGTATAGCATGGGGAACTTGTATTCAATATCCTGTAATAAACCATAATGGAAAAGAATATTGCATAACTGAATCACTTTGCTGGACAGCAGAAATTAACACAACATTGTTAATCAACTACACTTCAATTAAATTTTTAAAACTGATGGGCCTGTCTGCCTTCATGTAAAATTCTCCTTCCGGTAAGAATCAAAATAATATGGTTATGGCCCATCTGTGCACCATGGCACTGAGCCAGGCACACCACAGGAGAACCAAGAGACCACCACCTGTCAGTAACTTACAGGGGGGGAAGGTGGCATTGTGCCGGGTGTTGGTAGGGGCACAGAGGCAGGCAGGCCTGTGTTCTTCAGGTGCCCTGCACAGAGTGCCAGCCTCACATAGGTCACTTTGCAAGAGACGATGTTAGCTAACAGCAATCTCAGGCGAGCACCCACCTTCTGCCCTCATCCCCCATTCTCACCCCCTCCTTCACTCTCAACAACACACAACTAATTATCGCACACAATGGCGTGAAGAATGGTACTGAGCAATGCTGCTGCAAACAGGACCAATAACAGAATTGAAAGCATTTTATTTCTCTTGGATACTGGTGCTTGAGGACAAGCCAGGTAGAGGGAGGCAAGGGATCGACAGCAACTTGGTGGAAATACCAAAGGAGACGCTAGGGAGCCTTGGGGTTCTTCACAATAACTCCCGTCAGCAGATGTTCACACAGAGCCTCCCATGTGCCAGGGTCAGTGTTCACGGCTGTCGGGTCCGCTTGCTCTCCAGTTCCTGCACACAGGTGGATTTCAGCAGTGTCCTCCCAGCACCCAGCACAATGCCACCTTCTCCCTCTCTCTGCAGTAGTGCTGTGGGATGGATGTCATCATTTTACAGGACTGTTTATACAGCTGGTGTGTGTGCCTGTGTGGTAAGCACAACCAATCACTCAGGCATAGGTACGCCCTGGGACAGAGGCACAGGCCCAGGAAGCCTGACTTGACACAGTCCCCGAGGTCATTTACCCTCATACGTGGGATAAGTTGGACTCCTAGGGGGTCTGAGGCAACCCGTTCCAGCTCTACCATGAGGCCATTGCTCTACAAACTAGAAAGGGAGTGCATGTCCACAGGCCACACAGCTCCTGCCTGTGACATGGGTGATCACTTTATTAGTGGTTCATTAGTGGCTAATGATTAAACGAGAGCTGCCTCTGACCCACTTAAGAGAGATGCGAAGAAAGAAAGGAGCAACCAGGAACCTCCCCTGTCGTCCAGTGGTTAAGACTCTGTTCTTCACAGCAGGAAGCATGGGTTCCATCCATGGTCAGGAAATTAAGATCTCACATGCCCTACAGTGCGGCCAAAAAAGAAAGAAAGAAGCAATAAAACAATGGAAACCCACACATCCAAACCAGTAGTTCTTAACCTAGGATCACAGCTCCCCAACTGGTTCATGAACAGAATTCAGAAGATCCATGAACTTGGGCAGAAAAAACAATTGCATCCTGTTATCACTCACTGCGAAGTGAACTGTAACATTCTTCTCTTCTATCCATAGGCCACAAACATGGAAGTATTAATCATACCTGGGTCCTTGTCACCAAGAGA